TGACAGAGTGAACTTCTTCAAACCCCTTACATGGCATATACGCATTTCTACGCATTGGACTTGAAAAACAAGTATAGTGTGAACAAATATTCATAACTTTGTTAATACTGCAAATATCAGAATAATTCTTACACTCTTGGAAAGAGAATAATTAGGATAAAACAATATGCAGAATTTTTTATTGGTTATACCAGGTTTTTGCTTAAACTTGAGTTAAATTTTGCAAACTATTTGAGCAATTTTGCCATTATCGAAATCAATGCAGGGGTAACATGTTTTATGAAAAAATGCTAAATTCTGGTGATTACCCGGGTCCCAACTCCATCCTATTCCCCCAAATGACTTAAAGTTGTTTAGTAACAAGATGTGTTTGTGAAATACTGGCCCCCGGCGGCAACAAAGTTCGAAAAAGCTATTCTTAGCATGAAGGTTGCAGTCAAGGTCACAAGGTCATTGACCCCAGTGTCGTTTAAAAGCACTTAATTAGTGAAGTAGGCATACCAAATATAAAGTCTCTATCTCCTATGGTTCAAAAGTTAATCTGAAAGTTCGAAAAATATTTTTTTAGCATATAGGTCACAGTCAAGGTCAAAAGTCTTTGTCCTTGGTGTCAGTTGAGAGTGCTTATTTAGTGGAGTATGCATTTTAAATATGAAGTCTCTATCTCAATCTGTTCAAAAGTTATGGTGAAGGTTAAAGTTGATAACAAATATAATAAAAGTAGGTCAGACTCCAAGGTCTTGGTTATGGGCTAGGTTAAAGTTGGGGGACAAACAAACAAACAAATAACAAATAGAATAATAGTAGGTCAAACTCCAAGGTCAAGAGGTCAAATTTGGTGGTACCCAAAGAAAGGTCATGTCACAAGTAACACACCTTTAAATTATGAAAGCCATAGCTCCAACCACTCAATAGTTATGGGCTAGGTTAAAGTTGTGGGACAAACAAATGAACAAACAAACAAACAAACCAACAAACAGACAGACAGACAGGACAAAAACAATATACCCCCTATCTTTCGATCCGGGGGCATAACCCCTGATCTTTCGATCCTAGATCGAAACTAGAATGAAACTCGTTATTGTATAAATGGAAATTCCAGCATAATTATGATTATGATTATCATTTTCAGAAACTAAATGACATCTGCTTTCAAAGTTTATATATACATTGGTAGATTTACAGTCAACTCGTACACAAACCGAGTCCTACACAAACCAAGTCTTACACAAAAAGTCAAGTCGTGCACACAAATCAGAAGTCAACTCGTACACAAACTTTTGTCATTTGTACAAGGCATGGGAACGATTACTGAAAAAGGCATGGGCATGATTACTGAAAAATGTAATCGATTAATATTATAATCAATTACTTAGATGAATTTTGTGTAAACCATTAATAATCAATTACAGTTTTCTCCTTTAATCAATTGTAATCGATTAATTTGACAATGGAATCGATTAATAATCAATTACTTTCAATTTCCTTCCACCCTCAAATATCAAAGCAGGAAAAGATAAATATTAGGCAGTAATGTTGATGATATCCTCTGACGTTTTTTAAATGTATGAATGCTGTTTGAATTTGAACCTACCTATTTAATAACTCTGGTTGTTGCTGAAATTATTTAATATATTTAAAAAAATCAGATTTTTATTATATAACAAATAAAAGAGGTTTTCATACACCTACTAGACATGAATTAGCTCACCTCTTGTTATAAACCACTGATTGATAAAAAAAAAGTGTCAAAATTTGAAAATTTGAATATTCTGAAATATTGAAAAAAAAAAAAAATTACCAAATGCCTAAAAAAAAAGTTTGGATCGGATGCATTTTCAGTGGGTGAAGGCGGTAGGCAACTGCAAACAAACTTTATTTTAGGCCCAATCCATATATATGATAACATTTTGATCATATGTTACGTAATTAGGGGTTGCAAGGGACCAAAATGCTATATTTTTTATACTTTATGTCTCGAAAAGGGGGAGTATTTTTATAAGCCTTATTGAACAAAAGCTGTTCACCCTTGCAGAAATTATTCCTGACTTGAAAATGCTTCTCAGGAATTCCTAAGATGTCCTAAGAATTCCTAAGATTTCCTCACAATCTGATTTGAGGAAATCCTAGGAGTAACAATCCTGGGATTTGATTTCAGGACATCCTAGGATCTCCCAGGACTTCTTTGTTAAACATTTCAAATCCAAATCTTGCCAGGACATTTCATTGTAAAGCCAGGAGTTAATCATTTTTATGATAATCCCATTTCCTAAGACTTTTGACTTAATGTTGGGACTTTTGTAAAAAAGACAAATTAAACTTTACAAACTTGTACATGTTAATAAATGTTAAAACAGAATGACAGGAAATTTTATTACTTTTAAAGTTTTAATGTATAATATCAAGAAAATCATAAAATGAATAATTTTCAATCATTACCTATTATACTTGATACATAGAAAGACACTGACCCTAGAACTATTTTTTAAATTAAATACTTTCTGAAATATTGATGCTGTCAGGGAGGAGTTATACATGTAATATGTTTTAAAGAAAAAAATGTTTACAGACAAACAATATTTCACCATTTTCAAATCACACATTTCTGAGTTGATTTTTATCCATTAGAATTAAATTCTACACTTAATCTTTAGATTGCTTCGTTCATGGGAAACTGAGTGCAAGCATAGTTTTCCGAAAGCACTGGTCATACAAACTTGGCCATCTTGCAATACAACATCAACAACTTTTTCTTTCTATGTAGAAGTAATATTTTCCGGAATGTTTCACTGAAAATAAAGTGTTCCTCTTAACTTAAAGTTGGTTTTCAAATGGCTTTGAATTCAGAAGACCATACATGCAGAAGGATGGAGTGGTAAATTTTCTTCATCTGTCAATTTAATTTTTCACTTCGCATTTCATTTCGACACAAAACATATATTCCTCAGAGCACGTTATAAGAAATGGCTCTCATATACCGTCATCACCTGCATACAGGTTATATATCTCTCAAGTGGTTACCAAACTATCAGCTTCAAAGTCACATGCCTGGCTAGAAGTATCTTTTTTTTTTGTATCTTCTTCTTTATCAGTGTCATTTGGTTCATCAAACTGTCTTTGACTTTACTATCTTTAACATCTTCATCAAAATCTGTATGATTTTGCTGTATATTCACCCATAACTGCCAGAGATACTATACAAAAGAAAAGTAAATATTGAGTCATTGAAAGAAGACACAGGTACTTGTGGACAGGACCCCCCCCCCCCCCCCCCCCCGATATTCAACCCCGGGGCTTATTTGACATTTTTTTCACAATTTATATTTAGTACACTTTTCAACATGTTTGCAATAGGAACTACATCAAAACCCCAAAATAATCGCTCCACAAAAAAATACCCCACTATACATCATAAGAGAGAAGGTAAGCAACTTCGGTTTGTTTACGTTTAGGTAGACGCTACGGAAGTGCCTATTACCAATGATAACACCCGAGAGTGATTATTACGTCAAGCAAAAACTCTCTCGGACGTTATCGTAATAAGTGTAACATTCTCTATGCACTTCCGTTGCGTTTACCTAAGGGAATTTCAACATTCTAACAGGAATGCTGCTTGTGGATTCTTACGAGATGCAGAGTCAATCCGATAGCATGGACTGAGACAGAAATATATGTAGAGACATTGTGGACAGACATTTAAGGTGAAAATGAAATAAATACATGTTTTTAAACCCAGAAAGACCAGTGGGGGTACAACGTAAACAAACCGAAGTTGCTTACCTTCTCTCTTATAATATATAGTGGGGTATTTTTTTGTGAAGCGATTATTTTGGGGTTTTGACGATTTGTTCCTATTGCAAACATGTTGAATAAGTGTACTAAATATAAATTGTGAAAAAAATTTCAAATAAGCCCCGGGGTTGAATATGGGGGGGGGGGGGGGGGGGGGAGGTCCTGTCCACAAGCACCTGTGAAAGAAGAGTACACTACATAAATTTAAATACTACATAAACAGCATACTCAAGAAGCATGACTTGGTCTGTGACATTATACTTTCGTCACTTTCTGACTTAAAAAGCTTGGTATTTCAAATTTTGTTGGGTAAGAATTGTGTTGTATTGAGTTTGAGAATATAATTCCTCATGTTTTTGATATTGAGTATTGCTTTTATTTAACGAGGAAAATCTAAAAAAAACGCAGTAAAACTAATAGAGTTTCCTGAAAATTTTATCCACATAAACAGAGATCAAAAAAAACTTTTCAAAGGTTTTAACCAAATTCGATTCGTTACATAACTATTAAATACGATAAAAATGCGCTTTCCCTATAGGTTTTATTGCCAGATATACTAATTTTCATTCATCACTTAGCAATAAGATACTTACAGACATCGTGACAGGCTTGTAGATGCGAAGAAAAGTCGTTGTTTACAGCACAATGTGACAACTTCACGATCCGCCATATTTGTGTTTGGACGGTTTCCATGCAAATTGTTCTTGGCCTAAATGTATCATCGTGGTTCTTCGAAAATCTTTTCTTCTGTAACACTTTCTGTCAGTAGAATTGGTTGATCAAGGATATTTATATTTTATTTTTCTAATATGCGGTTCGTTTGTCACTAATAATAACTTACGTGTTTTTTTTAACAAGATTCTCGGGAAAATGTCGGGATATTTCTTAAAGGTGTACAAAATACCCCTACACCGTATCTGCAGCGAACTTCCGAGAGGTGGTACAAAAAAGTGATCTTCGATCAATTAGTACCCGGTGTATAAAATATATTTTACTGTCAACTCAGCTTTGAATATTAATTTGTCAAAAAATATTCGCTAAAATATATTTTCTTTTTGTAAAAAAAAAAAAAAACGTAAATTCACATTAATCACAAATTATTTTCAAGAATTAAACAAACCGCATTTTCTTGGTGTGGCACGAAATAACTTTACACCGTCCTGTATCATCCTCTCGCGAGACCTCATCGAGAAGCGCAAAAATAGGAGTTCAAGGAGCGGCAATGTTTAGAGAGACTGGTGAAATGTAATGAAATGCTCAACTTACGCCCAAGATTGACTCTAATTCTTCACATAAAGTGAACCATGTTCTCTTTCCCAAAAATCTTGGTTTCGCTAGGAGTGCAGTAAAGGGAATGTTGGAAGAAGTGTAGATATCATGGCCACAGGCCAGTGGGGTAAGTGGCGAGTGGTTCCTTTAATATGTATTTAAACACACAAATATTGTTTAATAGTTTAGTGCATGTGATGTGTTGTATAATATTTCAATATTGAAACAGAAGAAACGATTTGAATATGTGTAAAAGGTTTTTGGGCATACTGTAATTCAGTCTAGTCCATGAAGATCAAACGTACATACACAATGAAATATTTCCAGGTTTAACATGTTAAGATTTAGTAAGCAGAAGACTTATAAACAAATATTTATTATCAGTTACTGTTAAATTTGCATTGAATGTTTGGACATGGTGTAAATTTTGGAATTATACTCTTAATTAAAGCCTCCATTGCATTGTTATCTTCCAGCTAGAACCTTGAAGCCTGGCAAGGATTATGAGACTGGAAACTCCCATTGAGACTACCAAATGAAGAGAAAGTTTCAGGTATCTTGTAATCTTTTTTAAAATTTTCTTTTGTAAACTTGAAAGAATAGACGGATTTCACATTCCTAAGAGTTATCTCCGGTTGTCGGCGTAACACTCATTTTTCCCACTTTGTCCTTTGTAAGTTTGGAAATATTTCCTTATATTAAGTTGGGATATCTAACAATATCGGTCTAAGATAACTATATTCACAAAATTTAGAACAAAAAATAAAAAAATCATTCATAGAATATTTCAATGACAGCCATCATTAAAATTAATTTCAGCTAGATCAGGGATTTATCAAGGCTGTTTTTACTACCGGTAAATGGTACCTTTCCCCTCTTGAAAAAAGTGAAAAAATTCCCCTTTTAAATGTGAAAAATTCTCTGATTAAACAGAGAATACATTTCAATCTCTGTAACTTATAAATTTCCGGGAAAACTCGACGAAGTTTAACAGCATATCCCAATATTACAAAATTTAGAACATTCAAACGCTTATAAAAATCAGAGAGAAATATCATTGACAGCCATCATTAAAATTAATTTCATTGATCGGTAAACATGTGCCATGTCCATGATGTCAAATATACGTCTGGATTGCAGAGTTAAAAAGAAAAGTGTAGATGAGTAAGATGGAGCTTATATCTCTATAGATTGGAAGAATGGAGTAACAACAAAAACAATGTTTTTGTCGTTAAAGGTCTTCAAATGGCCCTCAGAAGCTCTAAGAATGCAGGATTTTGCTCCATTTTTAAGAGAAAAATTTCAGGGGGGCTATTTGATATTGATTGGTAAACATGCGCCTCCGGTGCTCAAATATGCGGCTCTCATTTTCAGAGTTTACATATAAAACGGTAGTAAAACAAAATAGCTAGATAAATCCCTGTAGATTACAAAAGAACAAATATGTACACGTCTTATAAAAAATTTTATTGATAACTTTGCAGACTGTTTAACTCGGACTAACGGAAAAGAAGCAAATTACAACAAAGAATATTGCTGAGAAAGGTAAGCTTTTAAATAATGTTAATGTATGATTTTAATGTTCTGTTCACACGGAGAGTTTAATTCACAACTTATTTTAATGCCAAGTAAATTGACTTCATACGACAGCTGTGGTAAAGCGGTTAACTATTGCGAATTAAAATTTTATTTTCTACAAAAATGCTATTCAGTAAGATTATTATGACATCATTTGTTAATCACGTCATGTATGCAATTGATTAACATACCTTATTCCTTATGCAAGTGTGAATAAAATAAATCTTTTGAGAAAAATGGTTCATCTTACTTGGGCAAACACATATTTTTATGGACTGGTAGAATCTTAAAGCTTGGTACATGTAGCATCTTTGGCTACTAAATTTTACAAGTTTGATTTTCATCCCTTAGAAATAATTACATATTTAGACTAAACAATGGAATACATTAAGTAAAATTTTATTTTAGCAAAGACAAGTGAAAAGTCGAGTGAAGAAAAAGCAAACAAGGCTTCACGATCTGCAACTAGGCCACTGGCGATGAAGAAGAAAAATGTACAGCTAAAGAAGATACATTAGTGACCAACTAAAGCTGGGCAACTTATATTGGATTGACAAGGTGCAGGGGGGATATTAATTTGGGTCTGTTTATCTTTCTGTTTGTCTGTAACACTTCGTTCTCTTTACATTTCCAAAAAGCCATCAGACATTGCAATGACATTTTATATTATAAATCATTTTGACGATCCCACTGCAGAACATGATTAATCATCAATACAAATTTAATATTGTTTATAAATTAAATATTACCCTTATATATTTTGAAGTGAAATGATCAGAGGTCAAGGCCTCTTTTGGGGGCACATATTGTTTTTGCCTGTCTGTTTATCTGCCTATTGCCAATTTACCTTTTGCCATAACTTTTGAATCATGAGAGATATAGATACTTCATATTGGGTATGCTTACTCCACTTTCGAATGAGACCAATGACCTTGACTGTCATCGTTATGCTAAAATATAGCCTTATTGAATCTTTTATTTTTGAACCAAAAGAGGTAGAGATTTTATATTGAGTATCCATACTCCACTAATTAAGTTCTTTCAAATTACATCAAGGTTAATGACCTTGTGACTTTGACCTATATGTTTTTGGCTTTTTTTTTCAAAACTTTGTTGCCACCAGGTGCATACTGTTTTTGTTTTTTTAGGGGGGTGTGTGTTATGAATTAGTTCTGTTTGGTATCTGAATCTTTTATTGTACAGAATTCTTCAGAAGTGATGAACCCTGAGGGCCTCACCCCTACTCTCTACACTAGGTTGTTGATTTAAATATTTTTTTTATTATTATTAATATTTGTCATTGTACATGTATATCATAAATATTCTATGAGAGCTGCTTCAGAATGTATTAACATAGTTTGAAAATAAGACAATCTGTTTCCCCCCTTGTGTGTAAATCATGATGTTGAATCATAACTGCACTATAATGTTACAGCAGTAAAATTGTAAAGAATTTGTTGTATCAGATACCATCAGCATTTTTAAAAAATTATTTTATGTATTATTTTTTCTGTGTGGCCATGAATTTTTATAATGCATACATTCATTAAATTTTTTTCAGAGATCTTATAATTCTGCTTTGTTGCTATGTATGATTTTTAAAAAAAAGAAGATGTCCTAGGAGGCTAGGATATCCTAGGAAATCCTAGGAATTCCTGATTTCCTAGGACATTTTAAGTGTTGGGGTTTTCCTGGGATATCCTGGGAAGTCTTGGTGTTTTGATTCCTGGGATTTTTCTAGAACCCCTGAATTGGGACTGTCCAAGGAAATCCCAGGAATTCCTGTTCCAAAAACATCTCAGGATATCTTAGGAATAATCCTAGGATTTTTTCAAGATATCCGAGGAATAAATCTTGAGATTGTCTCAGGATTTCTTAGGACATCTCAGGAATATTCTGCAAGGGAAAAACATCGTGATAAAAATGAGAAACTTTAAAATTAATGAAGGCAAACTTAATGCCATTCTCTTTTAACGAATATCTCAGTCAAAATCACATCTCATCTTATCGAGAAATTTGACGGAAGACCTACTCGTTGCTCGCAACGAGATCTCATCTAGTTTCTTATTATTTTCATTATCATACATTATTTATCTTTATGAAATTCTTTCAAAATGCTACTCCTCCTACAGTATTGGTCCAATTTCAATATAACTTGGCACAAAAGTAGACTACACTAAGATACATAATTCTGTGCATCGGTTTGTGATTTCGATAAACGGTGTTGCCATGGTTACTAAAAATAGAAATTTCTATGAAATTCTTTCAAAATGCTACTCCTACTACAGTTTTGGTTTGATTTCAATATAACTTGGCACACAAGTAGACTACACTAAGATACATAGTTCTGTGCATTGGTTTTTTATTTCGATGAATAGTGTTTATAAAAATAAATAAATTAGAGCTCTAAGCAATGAAAATGTAAACTAAATGTACCTTGAAATATGATTAATGGCAGTAGCACAAATTTTTGTTGTTGAAATAACTGTTTTGAGAGCTATCAATCGTTCTATAAGATTGTTCGTCTACAGTGGAGTTATTAATTAAAAATACTATGTAGTTCACAGGTCACGCCTTATTATCTGCAGTCAGGGATATCCCAGCCAATTAGCCAAGATAAACACAGTGACACTTACTGCCCCTTCTCTTTTAAAATACAGACACTCATTGACCAATTGGGCAAACAAGTAAATTTTGCCGAATGATTTTGCTCATTTAAAACACAACTAAATATGATAAGTATTTTCTTCTTATTTTTCTATTAGATCCTGGAAATGTAGCTGTAGTATAATGTAGGTTATATTTCAGATTATTTATATAAAAGCACTCAAATCTATTTTTGCTATAAGTATTATTTTCCATTTTTTGTTAATTAGAAGATAATTAAAATTAAACTTTATCACCTCTAAAATGTGAAAAAGACTAAACCATCAGTATGTCTATATTAAGGTACATTGATACTCTGATAAGAGAGATAACTCTTAATGACACAAATGTTTATTACCCGGTAATCCTTCATAAATTTGTCAAATTTAATTGCCTTTTAGTCAAATTTTGCCCCGCAAGCCATGCTATAATTGTTTGTATTTCATTCAGCATATACATTTGCTTTGGTAATCATAAAAGTAAAAGAAAAATTTCATATGATTGAGCAGAGGGTTTATGAATTTTAAATGCAAATTATATTGTTAACATTATTCAAGGTATATCACTGGGTGGTTTGAATATAATATTTATGTTTGATTGACCATGCTGACTGCATGGAAATTATTTTTCAAAATAAAATTCATGTATATAAAAGCAGATATGTATGTATATGTATAAAGTAATTGAAAGTAATCGAAAAAGTAATCAGTGCTTATAGTTGATATCGCGATTACTCAATTTAGAGCAGCTCTTTCGCGATGGAGGTAGGGAATGTCTGTTGAATGGGGACAAATGTGCTATTGAATACATTGCAACATCGGTCGTTGTAGAGTGTATAAGAATAGATTAGTAAAATATCCTTTTGGAATGCCTTGCTTAAAAATCGCTGACCCAGTCTTAATTATATTTTAGACGAGGTAATCCTAAAATGTTACATTTTTAACAATATTTTTAACTAAGAGGACATTTCTCGACAAAATTTCATTGAAAATCGTCACATTTTAAAGCTGATGAAATATTCTAAACTTTCCTTAGTTGACGTTCAACTATTTGGAGTTCAATTCTTGGCAATACAGTGTACTTTCGGCATTAAATTGATCAAATCATTTGATTGTTACTACTGTAAACAATATCATGTGTACCCAAAATTTAGAGCTTTCTTGACTCCCCCGCAAAAGAGCGGTAGTAAGTTAGATAACTGCGAAATACTCGCGATATTTCCTATTGTAATGGGTACCATTACAAATGCTCCCCAACTCCCTTTTGGTGCCATATTCCCTGTACGATTCATTAAATAGGACAAAATCTATGCATTTGAGACTTTAACAATGCTAAGTTCAGTCAAATTTTAGCACTGCACACGTGCGGATGTGAATGCATGTGCGTAATGACCATATCATCTTGTCTACACAATCTATATATTTTAATATACTAAATATCAAAGTATTTAATCCAAAAGTATTAAAAAAATAAGCTCATTCTAGTGTATTTTTGATTTATAATTACATAATGGAAATTTCAGCAATATTCGATTATATTTACGATTACAAGTAATCGAAAATCTCTTCGATTATAGATTACTGTCAATTACTTGAAAAAAAGTAATCATTACAATCAATTAGGATTACTCAATTACGATTACCCCATGCCTGATTCGTACATAGGTTTTTCTATGTGATTTAAGGTATATTTTTCCCAGTGTATAAAAATTGAGAAGTCAACTTGTACACAAAGGTTTTTCTTGTGCATTTTAAATTTTTGATGTAAAACTTTTTAATCAACTATTTTATGCCTCTGATTTTCCTTTACCATATATGCCGATTGTTTTTGTTTTGTTTTGTTTATTTTTTTAAAAGATTTTCCTGGCGTAATTAAATCTAAGGCGTCAGCTCCTACACACTTTTGTTAGTTAAATAAAATATTTATTTTATACATAACTGGGGACCTCATATACTATAAAGATAGGTTGCTGACAGTAACTGAGACGTCTGGTTTTTTGTTTGTTTGTTTGTTTTATTCTGTGGATTTAATTGCTAGATAATATATTTTTTATCTTAGACAACTGAATTTGATTTCTAATTATTAAACATCATCACAACAAGACACATGTATGTTAATTTCACATTTTAAATTATTCTTCTTTTTATAAATATAAGTATTATTTGTGGATATGAATTAAAGCGTGTTTTTTTTAGATAGAAAAGTTAAAATCTTTATGGCAGCAAAACAAATATCGTTATATACATAATTTAGGCTAGATATTAAATGCGATAAAAATATATCGTAAGATTTTAATG